ATAAATAGGTAAAAAAATAACCGAAGTTGCCAAAGTTCTGTACAGGTCAAAATAAACATAAAAAGCCAACATAATTTACATACATATATGTCATTTTAATGTAAAATAAATAGGTAAAAAAATAACCGAAGTTGCCAAAGTTCTGTACAGGTCAAAATAAACATAAAAAGCCAACATAATTTACATACATATATGTAATTTTAATGTAAAATAAATAGGTAAAAAAATAACCGAAGTTGCCAAAGTTCTGTACAGGTAAAAATAAACATACAAAGCTAACATCATTTACATACATATATGTAATTTTAATGTAAAATAAAGAGGTAAAAAAATAACCGCAGTTGCCAAAGTTCTGTACAGGTAAAAATAAACAAACATAAAAAGCTGACATAATTTACATACAAATATGTGATTTTAATGTCAAATAAAGAGGTAAAAAGGTTTTTAAAAAAAAGGTAAAAAGGTGCTCTACCTCAGCCTAAGGTTAAAATGAGGAGCTCAAGGTTTGAAATAACGTCTGGTTGTGAAATCTTCTGTCCCAGTTAAAGAGAACAACTGGCCCCCTCTTCCCAAGTTCTTCCCGGTGAATCCCTGCTTCTACCAGGACTTTGAGGAGGAAATTCCTGAAGACTACCGCCGACTCTGCAAGAGGATGTACTACCTGTGGATGTGTAGGTGACCCTCCTTCCACTGTTTCCATTGTTGAAAGAGTGGTGATCTCCAGAAATGTACAGTAACAAGTAGAGCTACTTAAGTACTGTACTTAAGTACTGTACTTAAGTACTGTACTTAAGTACCAAAATGCAGTATCTGTACTTTATTGGAGTATTTATTTTTTCCCCACTTTTACTTTTACTCCACTACATATTTTTTATTAATTTTATACTTTTACTCCGATTGATTTTTCACGGGCTGAATCGTTACTCGTTACTGATATATAAACGTAATGTATATAGCTCTGTCAGGGTTTGGGAAGCTGGCTCCTCATTGGGAGATTTGAGCCATCAAGCATAGCCTATATAAAAAAAAAACCCCTGAAAGATTGAAATCATGGCCTTCAAAAATTCCCCATCTAATCTGAAAAAACATAACAACGTAAGTAAAAAAAAAAAAAAGACATATAAGCTAGTAAATAAGCGCTAGTTCAGTTCAACACTCAGGACGTAGCGGCTATCGTTAGCTAAAGCTAACCTAGCTGGCAAGCTGTATGATAACGTTAGCTAAAGCTAACCTAGCTGGCTAGCTGTATGATAACGTTAACTAAAGCTAACCTAGCTGGCTAGCTGTATGCTACATGCTAGCATAAAGGCTCAGCTCAGCATTCTGACTCTGGAATAATAAATAATAGTAGATGAAGTGCTGTTTATTGCTAATGCAGATGTAGTTTTCTGTTTTTGTAAACACCTGTATGGCCTTTCACAGGTTTGAAATAATATAAACAACATCTATCAAACCTTTGACTGCCTTTCTTTAATATACACAGTACTTGTACTTATACTTATACTTTCGATACTTGAGTAGCAATTTTTGAAATACTTCTACTTGCAATACTTAAGTACAAAAAAAATTGATTACTTCCGTACTTCCACTTAAGTATGGTGTTGAAAGAACACTTCTACTTTTACTCAAGTAAATCTTTTTATATAGTACTTGTACTCCACTCCTCTACTCCAGTACTTTATACATCTCTGGATGTTCGATCCATGCTCAGGTGTCCAGTGACCGGGCTTTTCTCTGTAGTCCACAGTGCCACTCTCTTCCTGAACGTGCTGGCCTGCCTGGCTTACTTCACCGCGGACTCTCAGTACGGGGTGGACTTCGGCCTGTCCATCCTTTGGTTTGTCCTCTTCACCCCCGTGTCCTTCATCTGCTGGTACAGGCCCGTCTACAAGGCTTTCAGGTAGGGATGTCCCCATCCAGCTTTTTTAACTTCCCATCCAATACCGATCCCGGCCTATCAGAGCATGTGTTAAAGTTTAAAGTTATTTATCTACTGACTTAGTTGTCAGACTCATGTTGAACAGGGATTTACTCTGATAACAACTTAATGGTTAGAACACAGACCTGTGGGCTAGAGATGCTAATGCTAATACTTTGGAAAAAAAACTGGATCTGGATCTGCATTTTCTCCTGCCGGCCGATACGTTTTGATCTCTGGGAACTGTTATTTTTAGCTTTCTTTCAGCAAATACTTCCTCAATATCCAAGACCGGACCAAAAAACCCCAGTCTGCAAACATGAAATGTGAAAGAGAAGGAGCCCGGTTAATACAAATGCTTCACATTTACATCAAAGATACAGGAAAGACAAAGAAATACCAGAGGAAGTTGTCATTACTTCGCATCACTCACAGTCATCCTTTTCTTTTTAAGATAGATTCAAGATTCTTTATTTGCTTTTTGTATACATTCACTTAATCTGGTTATATTGAAATTATTTTAAAAGGACAGGAAAAGGATCTTACTAAGAGCCTCGAGGCTGTACTTGCTGATTTTGACACTTGTTCATTTTAGGGAGGTCCACATCCAGCTTTTTTCACTCCCGATCCCGGCCTATCAGAGCATGTGTTAAAGTTTAAAGTTATTTATCTACTTACTTAGTTGTCAGACTCATGTTGAACAGGAATTTACTCTGATAACAACTTAATGGTTAGGACACAGACCTGTGGGTTAACAGATGCTAATGCTAATGCTAATGCATTAAAACATAACGTCCTTCTGTTTTTCTGTGTTTCCTCTTTAGGTCTGACAGCTCCTTCAGCTTCTTTTTCTTCTTCTTTGTCTTTTTCTTCCAAGTGGCCGTGTACATTATACAAACGGTTGGGATTCCTAAGTGGGGAAACAGGTGAGTGTGAGCTGAATAGTGGCCTGAACCCTCTGGGGGAGTGTGCATGCTGCTTTGGGCAGATTTGGGGTAGATGCATGGGAGATTCACAGCTAAATGTTTGTGTGTGTGTTCTTTCTCTGCATCTCCTCTCTTGCATTTCTTTGACAGATCCCTGTTGACCTAACTTGTCTGGGTTGCTGCTTTGTAAGTGTGTGGATCTTTTCTCTTTGGGTTTCTTTCCTACACCATATATATATCGAACCCTTTTAAAACCATTTGTCTTCTGCTTTTTAAAACGTCACCAGTGTTTGGTTGTTACTTGGATTGGCTCGTTTTTCTTTAATGCTATAGATTTAAGACAGTTTTCTCTGGAGAGAACGGTTGTGCATGTGTGTAAAGATGAGGCATCATGGCCGACTATCCGTTTATGTGACAGCTCACCATCAAGCCGTTCTCCATTTAAACCATCTATTTATATTTCTGCAACATTGTTTTTGGCTTATCTCTGCATCTGCAAAAAATAAAGAAATAATTCTAAGGAAAATGATCACATTTGTGAGCTTGAAGGTAAAAACAAACCTGTTTTTGAGCAGTTTGGACGGTACATATTTATTTAACACGTCTGGAGGCTTATGTTTACACACATGCACAACCTAATATAGTCAAAGTCTCTTTCCAAACGTTTCACTGTTGGAGCATTTTTGTTGTTTGTGCACATTCACAGAAAATGTGAAATGACCCGTTTGTGTGTTTCTGATGTTGACAGTGGGTGGATCTCATCAATCAGCATGATCAGAACAAACCTGGCGGTGGCCGTGGTCATGATGGTCGTGGCCGGTTTCTTCACTGTAAACTCCGTCCTGGCCATCATCCTGCTGAAAATGGTAGGCTTATGTTCAAAAGCTGTTTCCACATTAGGGTTGTCAAAAGTATCGATACTAAAACGTTGTATCCGGATACGATACTCATTTTCAAAAGTATCGATACTGTACGGTAATGTTTATGATCATTAGCATGACTTTAGCCTTGAATTTCTAGCTGCAGCTAACGGCTAATAATAACACCCCAACATTAGTCAGACTGCAGGAAGCCAAGGATGGATATCAAATTGTAATTGCTTCTCCCCCACATCCAAGTCGGCCATTTTGATTAGGTCACCAATAGGAAGATCCCAGGAAAGAAAATCCTAATTGCTTCATGGCAATATAGACATTAATTTGAGAATAGTTAAATGAATCTTGCAAACACTGAATTAACTTCTATACATAATATTATGTTAAAATAGTGGATGTTAAATAGGTTTGTACAATAAGTCCAAACAAGTTTAACCAAAAAATATTAATTTCTCACAATTAAGGGTGGAGGGTTAGGGTTAGGGTTAGGGTCCACCTAACCCTGTTATGTGGGCCACCATAACATCAGTAACAGGTCAGTTTGAAACTAAAGACACTAACCTGTCAAAATACAGTAAAATTTTGTGCTCTTGTGGTATCGAAAATGGTATCGAGTATCGAATATTTTCCTGAGTATCGGTATCGAGTTGAACAATTTAGTATCGTGACAGCCCTATTTCACATTACCGTTTTAATATCAGCCAAGTCCGGTTTGTAGCCTGCATATGCAGAATGTTTGCAGTAAAAATTAAAGATGGCAGCAAGTCGTAATTAATCGAATTGGACCGAAATAGAAAGACCACTGTGGAGCAGTAAACACGTAAATTTGGGTTATTTCACCCTTCTCCTCATGTTGGTTTTTCCTTTCAACTCAGCTGAGTGTGCAAGGAGATCAAAGGGAGACGCAAACAGACAAAAATCAAAGAGGAACTAAAAATAGTGGTGACAACAAAATTTAATCTGCATCAGAGAGAACCTTAAGATCTAGAAACTGTTAAGATCATCCCAGAAAACTAGCTTTTTCTGTTTTTGTTCTGTGGAAATGTGTGTGCTCACAGTCTCTGAAAGGAAACGGCTGACAGTCGTAACTATTGATTATTCAGGCAGTGTGTTGAAACGGTGTGAACACAGAAAGGTGTTTCTGGGGTAGATCGGGTGCTTCGAAATATTTATTTCTAAAATTGTGAGCCGAATGCATATTTTGACAATCTTAAAGGTATTTTTTGTCAATTTGATGCAATTCGTGGAAAAAAAAGGTTTAGTTCCACTTTCATTGTCACTTGAAAACCTGCAAACTGCCAAAAATAGATTGTGTCTTCACTGTAATCTAGAAAATCTAATGAAAAGTGGGAAATATAAAATACTATGTACCAAATATTATATATATTATACAAAATTAAAATAATTGAATAATTTCCGTCTGGAAAATTGAAGTATTTCTGGTTCTGAAACATTAACTCGTGGACCAAAACTGTAAACCTGGCCCTTATTAATATAATGCCAAATGTGTCATATCTGATCCGGTTTCTGAAGTCTTTTGGATCTGAGACTTTCTGCATCATTCAGTGGTAAAAGCTTTGCTCAAACCCCTGTTGTACACATTCAGATATACCTGATAACAGCCAGTAGAAGACTACACCAAAATACATTTTTGACTTATTGCACGCTAATTTGATCAAAACAATTTTCCGTTTTTTTTTCTTCATATGTCGTTGAGGGGCCAAAGAAAGACTTCAGACTAAAAAAAATCCAATACTCTTCCTATTTTCCTTGGATCAGGCTTTATAGGGTTAAATCTGACAGCCCAGATTAATGGGAGTTGATTTCTGACAGATTTGATTCTTTATTTGAACTGTTTCTCTCATTTCTCTCCTCTTAGGTGCATGGCAAGTACAGACGGACGGGCGCCAGCTTCACTAAGGCTCAGCAGGAGTTTTCCCAGGGAGTCCTGACCAACCGCAGCTTCCAGAGCGCAGCAGCCACTGCGGCCACCTCCGCCGCCCAGGGATCCTTCGGGGGGAACCAGGGGAACTAGAAACTAAACTAAACCCCCCGCATGCACCCAGAGCCTCGGGCTAAAATCCTCCCTGACCAGGAAACCAAACGAGAAATTTGCCCCAACGTTATTCTGTGGTCTAAGGAGAGTTTTGGTTGATTTATTTAAAAGAAAATGTCTAAAGCAAGAAGTAACTCACTATAAAAACAAAGTAAAAATTCCTTATTAACATACAAAATGAAAAAGGAGTTCATCTTAGACCATTTACGTTTTTTTTACTTCCACATTTTCTAACATTTTTTAGGTACATTGTCACAATTTATCTTCTGTATTGAATGGATCACTCTAGACCCAAAGTCAGTAAGATTTATTCAAATTAGAAACTAAACCGCCCGCATGCACCCAGAGCCTCAGGCTGAAATCCTCCCTGACCAGGAAACCAAACAAGAAATTTGCTCCAACTTTGTTCTGTGGTCTAAGGAGACTTTAGGTTGATTTATTTAAAAGAAAATGTCTAAAGCAACAAGTAACTCACTATAAAAACAAAGAAAAAATCCTCATTTAACGTACAAAATGAAAAAGGAGTTCATCTTAGACCATTTATGTTTTTTTTACTTCCACATTTTCTAAAGTTTTTGAGGTACATTTTCACCACTTATCTTCTGTATTGAATGGACCACTGTGGACCCAAAGTCAGTAAGATTTATTAAAACTAGAAACTAAACCGCCCGCATGCACTCTGAGCTTCAGGCTAAAATCCTCCCTGACCAGGAAACCAAATGAGAAATTTGCCTCAACCTTATTCTGTGGTCTAAGGAGACTTTAGGGTGATTTATTTAAAGAAAATGTCTAAAGCAAGCAGTAACTCACTATAGAAACACTATAAAAACAAAGTAAAAAGTCCTTATTAACATACAAAATGAAAAAGGAGTTCATCATAGACCATGTACGTTTTTTTTACTTCCACATTGTCTGAAGTTTTCGAGGTACATTGTCACAATTTATCTTCTGTATTGAGTGGACCACTGTAGACCCAAAGTCAGTAAGATTTATTCAAACTATAATTTTTTATGATGCTGGCATGAAGTGTTTGTTTTTATGTGATCTCTTGATTTCTACAAAATCCTTCAGGGGACTTGGACTCTTATCAAAAGCAATACTCGACATGAGAATGTTTTCCCACCAGTGAATGATGAAGTCTAATAGTGTATTTCAGCTCTATGTTTAACAGAGTTTTACAGAGTTACCGGATCATCTTCACCTCATCTGAGAGTGTGAGCTCATAACACCCTACATACCAAGTATGGATTACTTTCATTCCTTTGTTACTGTGCGTTTTTTAAAGTTGCTTAAAAATACATCACTTTCCCAAACATAGGTCTGTTTTAGAGTGAGCTGATGACTAATGAAGGTGATGGGAGGGTTTTGATGAGCTAAGGTTAAAGGGTAAATAAATGAAGTGTGTTTTAAGTGGGATGTTACATATTCAGTCAGTTGTGAGGAAAACCTTCACCTGTCCAGGTGATTTTAGCTGTGATAATGAAGGAGGGCATGCTGGTTTGATGTGAAGCCATTGATATTGTGTGGAATTTAGGTATATTTTAGGTATATTAATGAGCAGAAAGAACACAGAATGTATGCTGTACATTCGCATTGATGATGGTTGTTAATATTTATCCAATACTGACCAAGTTTTTACGTGTAAATGTATATATATAAATATAAAACTGTTCATTTCTGGTTTTAAGGAGTCGTAACACAGAGCCACGTCATTTAGGTGGAAGCTCAGTGCCTTTAAGCAGATAACCTACCAGTTGTTATGTGGGGATTCATGAGTCATTAGCCTGATTCTACATATTTAGGGAGATTGGTCTGTCATGATTAGACATTTTTTAGATGCGGTGTACATATTTAAAATATAATTTCAGTATGGGTATTTGTCAAAATTTGATTCTCAGTCTTAACATTTAATAAACTATTAAAGATGTGGATGTATTGTCGTCTGTAAACACTCAGCTGGACACATTGTTTTTTTTTAAATAACATAACAAGGCTGTGGTCTTTGCACGCTGTAAACACTTAACTTTGTCCTGGTACTTTTTCAGGGTTTTCATCTTATATTTTATGCACTGTTTATATTTACGTTTTTTAACAATCTGTCTATTAAACCTGCGAATTACAAATAACTTTTCAACTCAATGACCTGTAATCCTCCTCCATAACTTGCATAGTATTTATTCAATCTAGATAAATTGAACAAATCCTGGTATGTGTTCTTGTCATTTCTGAAAAATGAGCAGACAGTAAAATGTTTAGCTTAAGTGTGTATGATGCAACAGGTGAAACCACAACAGTCCTGCCCTGGTTTACAAGCCAAGGCTTTGCAGAAAGATAAATACATATTTTAAACTCCTAATCAAGACTTTGTTTTGCTGAAAATGTCAGTCAGAGATGTCATTTCAGTCTCTCGCCATTTTCATCACAAATTGTCAACCATAAGGACATTTAAAATAAATTTTAAAAAACTCTAAATTGGCATTTTTAAGCGAATCTAAATAAACATCTGCTTAGTTTGACACGAAAATAGGCAGTTTTTATCATTTAAAGAGTTAATGGACAGATTGGAGGTTCTAATTACTGTCGTTGTACATCCGCGTTCAACTGGTGTAACCATGGCAACGGCTTCTCCAGTTGATCATTCCAAGATGGCGGACAGCGAAAAAGCCCCCGCGGTGAGTGAAAAGAAAACCCTGACAGCCGTCTGCTTGCACAGAAAACAATGACACGAAAATATACCAACTCGTAGCGTGACACTGCGTGGGTAACCACGAGGCCATACCCAGACAAAGTTTGGGTTCGGCTTGTTTTAACGTTTCCTAGCAGCCTGGCTAGCGGATAAGTCAGAGCTAAGTTGATTAAGCTACAGCTAACTATAACTTGCTAGTCTAATCTCTATCCACTCACGACTAAGTAAAACCCAACTCTCCACAGGAATTGCACGTATATACGGGCTAATACTACATTAAAGCAACGGTTTGGTGCTGATATGTTCGGTTCACAAACGCAGCCTTGTAGACCAGCTCTTTTTTAAATGCTTTTATCACAAATACAGATTGTGTTACTGTAGTATGCCCAGCGTTGAGGACGTGATGGAATAAAGACAATAAGATACAGAAACACCAGATACTGCACTCAGAGCAATTCAAAACATCGATAATGGAGATATGAAAACGGAATTGATCTGCGCATGCGTGCGCCTGAACGGAAGCTCGGAGACCTGTAGGCAGCGTGTTGGGCTGATAAAGATGACACCTTTGTAACCTTGGAAAATTTGACGTTTACGTGATTGAAACAGATGAAAATAGGTTGTCAACCCCTTTCCCCTTCGTGTCTGCTGCTGACCAGTCCGGGTTGAGTGATCAGCCCTCTCCTGCTCGCTTTCTGTTCATTGATCAGTGCACACATCATCAGAAAAGCTTAGTCCTTTATCACACATTTGCATTTCTGTGTGCAGAGGCTTATCTCTGATTTCAGGGTCCAGATGAGTTTGATCTTGTTTGTTTATCATGCCTCCAGCAGCTCTAGGTAATCTTCATCTGATAGTGGACGAATACTGTATTTAATAATTTGTTATAGACAGGGAATGTGCATTATTGATGCATTATTGTAGCATAATATGCTTAACAGCATATGGTTTGTGGCTTATTCCTAAAGACATATAACCTAACTAACTCTTCATATAGCATTGTGAACACTCTCTGAAAACATTCTTGTCTTTTTGCTTGCTTGTGTGACAAAATTCTTTAGGTAGGTGAGAAAAACAGTGAGAAAAACTCAACATCCAGTAGTTTTGCTATAGAAAATCAGCCTGTGCTTCTGTGTGATTTTTCCTTTTATCTGTTTTTTTCTTTTTTCTTTGCTTTTCAGCTCCCTGTTTCCGCTGATGCCAAGAAGCGCCGTGCTCCTAAAGGTACAGCCACACATTCTGTAGCTCACTTTGCAGAAACATTTCTCACACTGCCGTTGCTTCCAATTGCTTACACATTATAGTAATTCATTTCCTGCTATAGAAAGCAGTTTGTCAGCAATTTGCCAACGATTGTAAGAGATTTTTTATCTGACTGGCCTGCAGATGTCACCCTCACCTCTCAGTTTGCCTTCTCTTAAGAATAAGCAGCGTAACGCCTACGCTGACATGTTTAAGATGTTCCTCAGAGTGAAAAATGTTTGCTGATCTTTTGCTGATATTCTGTCATCTTAATTGCGGCCTAACATCCTATTAATCATTTCATGCTGTTGCCTAAAGGATTTTTCATTGATGTTAATTACACGACTGTGTACTTTTCATTATTTCGGACATGCTGTGACAAGCCATTGTATTTCCCTCAGACTGATCTTGCAAATGATATTGGAGCTTTTACTGTGATGTATTTAATACAATTTGAGATAACAAATTGAATTGAAACCTGTTAATGACAATTAGGGGACCTAATGAGGAAGTAAACAAATCTAAAGATTTGATTTTACTTAGAATGAAGCAGGGGAGGCTGGAGGAGCAGAGAGAGTATGAAACATTAAACTGTGAAAACAAGTCGTACTGGAGGGATTGGGGTCCTTCCCGTCCAGAGGAAATGTTTAACAGCTCTCAGAAATCCAGACGAAAATAAACGGACAGATCTGAAAAATGAAATTTGACATGGAGAGTGCTTTGAATTTTTGAAGATGCAAAACACACCTTTAAATTACATCTTTAAATAGAGCTTAAATGCTTATTTTTATTTCAAAGTCAAAAATGATCTTTGAAAGTTTATTTTCGGTTCATTTGAATGTAGAGTTCCCAAATTCTCTACTAAAGGGTGTCAATAAGTGCTTTTCTTTTAAGGTTAGAACAAAGCTGACTTTGAGGTGGACATTTTTTGAGCTCTGAAAAAAACTTAGTATCAATTAACTAATAAAATAATCACCAGATTTCTCAGAACAGTCATATACTGTTCACTGATATGGTACAGCAGAGAAACTCTTTCAAAAATGTAACAGTGATATCTTTTTTTCATTAGAAATAAAAGCACGTTTATGGAATGGGAGATAACTGTGTGATAAAACCCCATAAACATGCAGCAGGAAGTGCTGAAACCTGGCACATAATAACTATTCATACAAATAAAACACGCCAATTAAAATCCAGTGAGCCATGAGGCCTTCGCTACGGTTTGCTGTAATTCATCATTGTTGTTTGCCCCTTAGACTCTGCCATTCGTAGAACCCGTGGAGAAAACAGCAGCCATGAATCTTAATTTGCATTCGCACATGAACTTAAACTTCAAAACTATAAGCCACGTAGATGTAAAGAAGTTACAATGTATAATAATTGCGTAATTGCAGCTATTTGAACCCGCTGTGATAATTGATTATAATTTGACTGCATAAAAGCACCTGCGATAAACAAAACATGTCACACTTTAGTGGTTATTTCCACTTTATCTTGATGTTTTTGCTCTTTTTGGTCGTTTGCTGAATCTAACTGTCTGTTCTGACAACCTGAGCATCAACTAAACTAAACTAACATCTACTAAAAAGTAAACTCATATCATCTGCACTGTCATGTTCTGTGGTTTTTAGCCAAAGGAAAGTAGTCAGTAAGAACAATCGAAATATAAAACTATACATTATATAGTGCTGATGGGACTCATGTTACTGTAACAGGTATGAAATCTTTTGGGTTTTATTCAAATGACAAAAAAACAGAGTGTAATTAATTAATCATATGGATACTGAAACGTCTACACACTAAGAATAAACTAATAATATGCCCTATGTCCTACTTTAATAGGGCTTAAAGGACACAAAAGTTATACCTGCCTGTGTATGCACCTTAATGAAACATAATTAGGGTTATTTAATGT